CACACACACACACACACACACACACACACACACACACACACACACACCAATCGCTGAACAGCAGTGCATTTTTTTAACTAGTTGGCTAGGCGACACTTATGTCGCCCAGTCGATTGAAAGGCTGGATAAAATGGATAAAATGATGCAGACCGAACGTGAAATATTACCATCACACCATTATGTATACAGAGTATTTCGAGAGAAAAAAAACTGTCGCCCAGTAAAAATTCCTTAAAAATGCACTGCTGAACAATCGGCAAACGATGGCGATTGAACACGTGATTCGGCAACACGGTGGCGGTACTCACCAACAAATGATCGGTCTGCTTGTCGATAGCGACCACGGCCAGGTCCAAGTGCAACAGCCTCCTGGTGATGGCCATGCCTATTCCTCCGTTAGCGCCCGTGACAAACGCCACTTTGCCTTTCCACCGGTTCATGTCGGCGGTGCTCATGACGAACGTATTGTTTACTGCGGAGCGCTGACATAAAACGCGAACCGCACCGAAGCTCTCTCTCCCTCACTATCGTTTTCGAGACTCTTCGTGCGGTGTACTCCGATGACAAAGGGATGGTTTAAAAACAATTGCAATCACAACGATAATATCGCGCGACGACGCGAGAGGATTTTCAAACCAGAGAAATTATTAACGTGACACTCGTTCCGGTGACGTTTAAGGTGTGTACACCAATGATCGCGAATGAATATGTTACACGCGCGTACGAGTGAAAAAGTACAAGTGTACATTGAATTACGGACACGTGCGAGCACGTTGTAACGACTGGCGGCAACGCGTGTCTGATGCGACTACGGAATCGCAGTTACCGGTTCGCCGAATTGGATAATAAGTCGCGGCGCCACCGTTTCACGGTTATGGTCGGTGGGGTGTTTGTGGCGTTGAAAAGAAAGAGAGAGTGAGAGAGAGAGAGAGAGAGAGAGAGAGAGAGATTACGACTGTTACGAAAGTGAAATGTGATATAAACATAAATTTAAAAAAACCCGCGCCAACACGGTTTCCGCAACCCGATTTCATACTTGTAGGTATTGGGTATATTCGTAGTCCGTACTTAAAAGTATACTTTAGTAAAAGTATACGAGTATTAATAATTGACCGGAAATCGAAAATAAATATTTCGTCATTCGTTCGATTCACACATTCCTATACCGACATCGAGTTACACGTATTATGCTAACCGATCGTAGACCTGTGAAAAATCGTCGCTCTAAATGATTCAAGCGTAATAAATGTATGATATAAATTGTATCTAAAATTAAATTTCGAATTCAGCAACAATGATAATCCCCAGTCTTCGAGAATTTCAAATATATTCCACAGAATAAAAGCAGAGGCTGTTCGAACATTTACGTCTTACCGGGTCTGATTAGTTTATTAGTTTGAACCGTCTATCTAACCCGAAAAATTGTTCCGGCTTTACATTTTAACTGCTCTGACGTTAAAACGTCAATTATGTATCACTAAAAATGTTCAGAAGTTTATCGGTATACTAGCTAAATTTAAATTTATTTAATCAAACTGTACGTAAAAAATATTTTTACCTGGCCCAGCTTCGGCAGATACAAGTCGTCTCTGACTAAAGGTATGTAATACGGTCGTCAACAAAATATAGAACCATCGACCGGCTGCCGAATGTTGTCAACACCTTGTTTTTTATGTTATTATTTACTAGCTTCAAACGGATAAAAATATATATTATTTTGGTTTTACTGATTTTAGGGCCTTCGTGTTGAATTAAAAATATAAATATTATGAGCAACTATGAGCCAAAACTGTATTTAAAAAGTATTCTTTTTATATTTGACAGCCCCTCAAGATGATGAGATGTGCCGATGTAAGTACGTGCCTTAATTATGTAATTTCGCCACTGATTCGATTATACCATCAGGTTCTGGGACACTACAAGTATAACGGATATTGTTAATTATCTCTAGATACGCATGTGCGATCTTACGAGAGCATTACGTCAAAATGAGATTATTGCACGTAGTCTCCATCGGGTAAATCCTGATTTTGCGTTTACCAGAGATTTCGAGTGCATTTTATTACAATCTTCGCATTGAAAAAATTGCGTTTCTTGGACAAGAGATCCGTTTCTGAACTGGGATCTGTAGTGAGCCCGTCGAATAAGCTAACTAAATTAATTTTAAAAAATAACACAACGACGATTTGAATTACAATATAATACTTTAATAATTTTTACACAAGAAAAGTTTGGACTGCAGTTCTCCACAAATGGGTTACTTTAGTTTTTACAAGATACAAGTGAGAAGTCAGGCCCCGGGTAATAGATCGACCCCTCTTATATACTAGTGTTCCCAGGGACGACGCGAGGAGGGCAGTTGTCCAGGGACCTGCATCTCAAATTATAATTAAGGTTCCGCGGTTCTGAAATAGTTTTTAACTGCGCTCAGATTTAACTGAACTTAAAATATTTTATTGATAGAAATTCTAAGACCCAACATTTATGTTGCCCAGGGCCTCGCAAACTATAGTGCCATCACTGAGTGTTCTACTACCTAAATCAGCAGAATTCATACTTTTGGATTGATCGCGTAATGCGATTATCGATCACCGATTATAATTTAAAACATTATATCAATATATTACTCAACGGGTGACGGGCAACTGCAGCACTGGTCTCCACACTCGAAAGTGTGGAAATCGGTTCCAGTGGATCGCAAAAACGATTATTACCGGTCGTCGGTGTTTTTGCACCTGCCCCCTCTCCGTGATCAAGTACTACCTATAACATAAAATACTGACCGCGTAAACCGTGTACGTCTGAACCATGATTATAACCACACGCGTTATGCACGTTGTCGTACGGGAATACAAGGTGGTATTTTTTACGTTTAGCAAATTATTTCCGTACATCACTTTATTGCGCACCGTATTGTATTTTTTTTGCAATTTTTTTCAATCGGTGAAGTATTTTTTTTTATTTACTTCGCTGAAGTACTTGGAAGCCGATTGTTTTACTTGAAATCACTGTACATAACTTTGCCCATCAACGAACCGAATGTTATTTCAATGTATTTCAAGCTATAGACGGTAGGAGTTAATATATAATTGTATACATATTGCTTGAATACTTGATAACTTCATCAGTCCTCCGTTCATCAAAACTTTCAATCAATCATATTTATCTGTAGTATAAACTGGTTAGATTTTATATTTTTTTTAGATATTTGCATGGTTGACATTTTCAGAAAAATATTCTATTAATCGGGATACCAAAGTTGAAAAAAAATAATTACCAAGATATTAAATAGTATACATTTTTTGTTAAAATGTCTTACGATACATTGACAGGAAAATAAATGTTCAACTTGCATTTATACTCATATAGGCAATAAGAAATTAAAATTACTCTTGTTCTCTTACTTTGTTTGGTTAATTTTTAATTTAAATGAATCTTCAAAACACCTTTGTCGTCGCATAGTTCTCAAAATTTATTTGACCAGTATTCAATCATAATGTACAATATGAAACATAGACGTTTAAAAAGAGAACACTCGACTATTATATTACACTATAAGCAGTGTTGTGCTTAGATAAAAAAAAATTATCTAGATATAGATAGATACAGTAGAAATTGAATTTATCTAGATATAGATAGATAAAATAATTTTTATCTAGATATTTATATAAGGCATCAACGTTTTCATCCGTTTGTAGGCGAACCCTTTTGGTAATGATTGTATTATGTAACGATATTTTAAATAAAATATTTATGCAAATTTCTGTATATAAATTATATTCAATAATGTTTGATGAATCCACCGAAATATACCACACTTCGCAATTAAGTTAGTAATAAAATATTTTAACAAAGATTCAGTGAGAGAAAATGTCATTTCCTTTGTTAATGTCCAGTGTTGTGCTTAGATAAAAAAAAATATCTAGATATAGATAAGATATCTGGATTTAAAATTATCTAGATATAGATAGATACTGTTGACGTTGAATTTACCTAGATTTAGATAGATAAAATCACTTTTATCTAGATATATATAGATAAAATAATTTTTATCAAGATATTTATATAAGGCATCATCGTTTTCATCCGTTTGTAGGCGTACTCTTTTGGTCTTGGGTAATGATTGTATTATGTAACGATCCATTTCAAAATATAAAATATTTCACCGATAGAATAAAATTAAAAGTCAGGCAAAAAATATGAAGATGGTCTGACGATAAACACTGAACACGTTGTGGACGAGAGTGCGCTGCGTACAGTACAAGATTTTAATAAATAACGGACGTTTCACGCCTAATATTTATTTTGTTGTACAATAATATTATGTAGACACATCAAAGTAGAAATTCATAGAATTGGGGTCCGGTAATGACAATTATTTAGAGCACATGATTACATGAACAATGGATATAATTTAAATATAAATATTGAATTTAAGGCGTCAAATGATGATGGAGAACGATCAATTTATGTGAAGGTACAGCATAATGCGTATTGTAATATTGCTATTTTCTTATCGACAGTTATTTCTGTATTTTATTATTTATAAACCATCTACCGCGCAGCTGCAATAATAACCAGTTTAGACCTATGGTGTGTTATCTCTGGTTCTAATATTCTAATAAATGCTCTTTCGGCGTTCGTAATACTACAGAACAATAGTAATACGGGCATGAGACTTCCCCATATAAGCCATAATATGAAATTATAAATAATTCCCACCTCCCATGCATATTATGTAGGTAATATATGTCTATATACATAATAAATTGTCATTGTCCATAATTTATAATAAATCCTATGTAAAACTATTTTAGAACCAATTTTTGCAAGTAAATATACAAATGAAATTTCTTATTTAGTTATTTATTTTATATTGAATGATAAAATTGTAGATTAGTTATTACTTATGATTAGCTACAGATTTTGTGAATTATCTAGATAAATTTATCTAGATGGCTATGATTTTTATCTAGTTGAAAATTAAATGTCAATTTTATTTTTTATATAGATAAGATAACCATCTGAAGTTTTTATCTAGATAAAATATCTAGATAAATTTATCTAAAGCACAACACTGACTATAAGTACAGTGTTTAAGTATACGTAATAAAACGACGTACTCGCAAGTGTTGCAACATACTGTAAGCGGATTTGATAAACGTGTATCTACTTGTCAGCGGCCAAGGGTGTGTTTTTGGAAGTCTTTCTACATTCCTTTCTAAATCATTTTTTACCGCATGTCATAATATCATATTAATAGCACCATACATTTATACTAACTGTATTTTCACATCTCTACGTAGAGCTATGCAGTTATACAACTTCGCATACGAATGCATAATTTCACCAACGAAATGTATATGTACGAAATACTTGCATGCCCTTTCATCGTTCGATGAGTATTATATTTATTTTGATAAATTTAATAAATTTTTTCAAATTGTGTTAAAAATACGTATCAATCAGTTTTGACAACTGTGGCGTAGGTACGAGATAGGTGTGTTCTGTGGATCTGTAGCATCTCACTGGGTCTTTGGGTCAAGGTGGTTCAGTGATTTGTGATGATTAGATTTTATTTTACTGCTCGGAAATATACATACAGTAGGTAAATTTACTATATTGTCTTCGCAATAAAAACGATCCTTCGCAATCTTCTTCGCAGGAATACAATTTCTTTTTTCTTTTTTTATAATAAATTATAGTTTTTTCTTTTTTATAACTCGTTACATACATTGATTTCTTTATTGTGCGATTTAGTATAGCTATTTCTCATTTCTGCGAAAACACAGAAAGAAAGAACGCAATGCAGCTATTGTTTTT